GAGGCATAATATCACCAAGTGCCAAAAATGGCGTATCATTTGAAGCACCTGCTATGCGAACTAGCAAATCTATGCCAAAATATCCAGCCTCAAACCAGCCAATAATGTCAGCCCCAGAAAAAGGACCTTGAATTATACCTTGAGGATCTTTATAATAAAGCTGAAGATCCTCTGGAGAAAGCTGCTGAGGTTTTCTCAATTCTTGTTCCCTATCTAGAATTCCAGATGGCTGCCTCCTTATAACTGGATCGTCACTGGTTTTCCATCTTGCCTCATCCCTACTTTCCCATTCGTTATTAAGATCTTTTGGTCTTAGCGACCAGCCCATATCAGGAGTTCTTGACTTGATATCACCGGGAATCTCTTTCCAATCATGCAAGACTGTATGTGCACGCTCCTGTGATGGAGCTCTCCATGGAGAGCCAGAGTGAGCAGTAATACCTCCCTGCATGCTCAAATCTGCACCAATAGGTACATCCTCAACCCTTCTGAAAGGACCACTGTCTCCTCTAAAAGCTGCAAACAGAAAGTAAATTGAGTAAATTTAAACAGGGAGACCCATCTCACGTCAGTAACATGTCTGAAAAAGGCCAGTGCCAGTTTCCTTGTTTTTTTTCTTTTTCTGAAACATAATCTCAAGAAAGAATGTAAAATTCTATATCAAGAATCAAGTAAACCAGTTGCTCATGGGCACTGAACAAGAGGTTAACATTTTCCTTTCCATTCAAAAGACTAGGTGAATTCAAACTATCTAGCCCAAACTTTTCCAGCCCACCCTAGTAACCTTTACCAATATGCATACTGATGTTGTTTCAACATCCTTTTCATGTCGTACATCAACATACCTTCCCCTCTGAAATTGTTCTGTGAGTATGTTTTCTGCTCCTGCGTTGTTTCTGCTTTTAGGCTGGATCCATGATGGAGCACCTGCCTTTCATAAGAAAAGCCCTCTGAATAAATAGGAAGACCACCTTTTGAACTAGCAGTGCTTTCATCTTTACAGTCACTAAGTGCGAGGGGTATATCTTCTCTACTGCCTGCTCAAACAAGACAGTTCCAATACAAGTCAATTCCCACATGAAAAGAATCATGCATGTATAGTTTTAAAATACCGTGAGCCAGTAAACTACCAAGCTTTGGTCTTCTTGACTGTGTAAAATCATTTGGGTTCCTTCCATCTTTAGAAGTCTGGGGTGCACCACTACTTACTATATCTCCTTTGTCAATTCCCTTCAAAAGAACCTGCACAAACAAAAAAATATTCAACTGCACTGATGAAAGTATCAGAAGTAATCATAAAATAATACAATGAATCTGCATTACCATTTCCTCAGAATTCGGTGCACAAAGCGCCAGAGGCTCCAATGGTTCATCCACCGTAAGAGAACCCATTTCTATAAACCCATCAACTAGTTTTTGATATGATTTCATATCAGCCTTCCTGTATACATCAATCAGCTTTGTCCTACTATACCTTAATGGATAAGGCTCTCCATGTTCACTTTCAACTTTGTCCAATACAGTTCCTATAGACTGAGGAATAGCAGGACTGCTGTTCATAAAGCCTCCACCAGAGCTACTCCTTCCATGACCAACAGAAAAGGTGGGAGGTGCATTTTCCCCACGCCCCCAATTAGATGAATATATAGGAGCATTCTTGTTTGTTGATAGAGTCTGGTTATGAGAAGGATCTCCCCTTCCTCGGGCTTGGGATGAATTTGATCTCCAAGGCCGGTAGTGATCCCCATCCTTCTCATCCCTTACATAATTTCCAACATGAGACAAACCCTTATCAAGATGCATGCTAGCATCTCTACCAGAGTCTGCCCACTTGTCACGCAAACCTTCTGCCTCCTTGTCATCAGGCCCCCAACGCGTGTTCCATTTGCTCTCTCGCCGTTGTTCATAATTGGATTCCTTGTTACTTGAGTCAGTCCACCGCTCAGGTGGGGCACGACGTGCTTCTCCAAAGTGCTTTGCAGATGAATTTTCCATCCGTCGATCCATCCTGCGAGTGTCACCAATTTCCTTATCCCCATCCCTCCAATGATCTTTGCGTCCTGAGAAGTTGGTGTCTCTTTCTTCATCACGCCAGCGTTCACGACGACCACCAGCTTCCATATCCATCAAGGATGGCCTGAAAACATCCTTCTTCTTCAGGGTATCGTGAATTTCATCACCATTACCTGATGATTTCATGGTATCCAAGTGACTGCCAAAGGATGGATTTGGGCTGGGAAGTTTTTCCTGCATTTATTTTTAGGAAATAAATAACAGAGAAACTCTGAAGCAATATTCCAAACTTATTTTGATAACTAAGATAGAGGTGCATGCTAACTGGAACAAATGTAACAAAATTTTCTTCTGAAACTAAGCAGCAATTGAGGTAAGCAGATTAATATACAATCATGAAAGCGATGATAACACACCTCGGTTAACATTCCCTGCTTACTCTCCCCGGGCTTAGGCAGAAGCCATTGCGGTGAAAGGGGAATAGGATTCTCAGAACCTTGTCCACCTGTGTACACCAGAAATAAACACAATTTAGAATTATGTGAAAATTATCAAACAAATCCAACTAGAATCACAGTTATTCGATGAAGCACCACTATTACGAAAAAATAAAAAAAGAAGGGGAAAACCTAAACCACCAAAACAGGATCGAATTAAAAACATCATAACATTACCTATCCAAATCAATCAAAATATGAATTGAGAAAAAAAATTTGTCAGAACTTTAACTTTGATAAAGTTTATGATGCAAAATACTACTACAACGGTCAAGCATGGAAATTCTTATGGTGAACCAAATTACGATATTCCTGGAGCATCATCATTAAATTCATAATATTATTTCTTCCAACCAATAAACGGGAAAATGTAAAATTAATTGCATTTACCAAGATTAATCAAAACCCTAGGCATAAAATATTTATCAAAACCCTAACTACGGAATATTTATCAAAACCCTAAAATCAGCCATGTAAAACAACAGTCACAATACGAACGACAAAGAAAACGACAAATGTGCGAACTTTGTCAGAACCACCGCAAAAGTCTAGGGTTGTGGTAGAAAAACGGAGGGTGGAGGCGGAATGCGAAAATCGAAGACGGCAAAGGAGGTCGAGAGAGAAAATACCTTTGGAGATCTGGGGCGGAGTGGTGACGGAGAGCTGGTTGCGGGAGGCGGAGCTGGAGAGGTCGGCCATGGATGATCAGTTGAAGTTGCAGAGAGCGAGCGAGCCAAAGAAACCTTTTTGCGCTTTGAGAGTGAGGTAAGACGGAGAGAAGGAGAAGGGTGGGAAATAAGGGCAACAAAAAAGAAGGGAGATAAATGCGATAGGGGTAATTTAGGGATTTTGACCAACCGGCTCACGTTAGCAAATCAGCGATTAGTTGTACCACACATCACCCTCCTAACATTTTTTTACTTTTTCACATCTTATTCACGAATGTCTGAGTAAACCAACCGTTTTTATAAACACAAGTACGAAAATGTAAAAACGTCTGAGTAAATCACCCTCAAAACATTGTCGATACAATGAAGAAAATGCAAAAGAAAAAACACAAGTACGAAAGTAAGATCTCAACTAAACTACGTGAACAACTATTATAAGGTGATTTAAGGTTGGTTTGGTATGTTGTGCTTTAAAAAAAAAACTGTTTCTGTTACGATGTGAGAATAAACTCATTTTTGCTGTTTCACGTTTTCAGCTTTTTTTTACCAAAAACTATGAAAATAAGTTGTTTTTAAGTGTTTACCAAACACCTTTTTTTAGCTCAGTTTTTTTTAATACCCACTTTTTATAAAAGCACATCAGTACCAAATCAGTACTTAGTGGTTGAAATCGAATTTCAAGCTTGTGTACTACATAGCTAGTTTTAAGTTCGATTTTTTCCGCTGATGAAACACAGTGGTAATTATAAAAGACTGTGAAATACCTTAGTAAAACTTCTTGACTTCCAAACGATATTTTCGTTATCACGTATAATGGATGCATGCAACTTACTGTGTCGTAAGCCGTGCATGTTAATAGAAGGTCAAACAATTTTAGTTTCGAATCTTTATGCACTTGAGTTGTAAAAGATATAATACTAATCAGATTGTGGTATAAGTGGGATGTCAAAGTAGTGGAGTGGTTGGAGTATAAAGCTCGATTCTTACCAATCAAGTGAGATGTCAAAAAGTTACTAGCTATTAATTTAGTGATACTTTTATTCTCGATTCAATTACTTTTCTTTCTATTTATGAAATTGTATTGTTAAGGGTTTTATTTTCACAAGTTTTTTTTACATTTAAAAAATGATCCGTTGGTGGTTTCATCACAACAACCTACTCTTTCGGAAGCCGAAAACACTCATAGAAATATTTCAAAAGCTTTAATTTGGTAAATCTTTTCAAAAGCTTTCATACTTGGGATTCTTAGAAAAAGCTTATTACCAAGATGAAAAATTCGTAGTGACCATAAAGCGTTTTTGGTGAAAATGTTTTTAAAACCAATCTTTAGTAAAAATGTAAGTAAATCCTGGAAATATACTTAAAGTGTTTCCTAGAAGAAGCACATAACTGGTGCTTCTAGCAAAAAGCACTTCGAGTGCTTTTAGAACACAAATTTTTTTTTTAACAAATTTTTTTTTTTAACAGCACTTTTAGTCATTTTAAAAGTACATCCAAATAAGTATTAAATAAACTTGATCACTTCCAGACCAACTTGGGCCGGTCTTTTAAGTGAATTAAAACTGACTGGGCTGATGATCTTTCTTTCCACACTATTGGGCTCAGACTCCTCTACATTTTAAAGATCGGCCGAAGGGAAGCCCTAAAATTCAGTAGTGATGAATTGCTAAAGGCGAGCGTGGGAGGGAGGGAGGATGGACACAGCATTTATACGAGTCTGCGCACAACACGTGTAATTCCTTCCGAAGCAACGGGAAAATGGCGGGAAAAATTTGGCGCCATTGTTTGCGACTCTCTCGATTTAAACGAACCCCGTCCTCCCATTTGCCCCCCAAATCTGGTTTTTGGCAAATACGCAACACATCGCCGCCGCTTTCTCCCGCAAGCTCTCAGAATGCCCCAGCAAGACGCGCAGAACGGAAGCCATGAAGTCAAAGAGCCGAGTCCCAAGATCGCCAAGCTTCACGAGAATGGCGACGTTTCTGGAAACGCCACCCCATTTTTCCGGGTGAAGAAGCTCGCTGAAAAGGCGGTTTTGCCGGCCAGAGGTTCCCCACTCTCTGCAGGCTATGATCTCTCAAGGTGAACCCCAAAGCCCCTAAGTTTGTACTCTATTTTTACTTGAACAATCATCGGAATTTGATGTGGGTTTTTGTGTAGCGCGACGGAGACGAAAGTTCCGGCCAGAGGAAAAGCCCTGGTCCCAACCGATCTGAGCATTGCCGTCCCTGAAGGAACCTATGCCCGAATTGGTATAAATCCGAATCCACAAATTTCCTGCTCAATTTCGATAAATTTTGATCTCTTGGCATACAGAATTTAAATGGGTTTTCTGTATTGTCTGTTGGGTGTGTAGCGCCACGATCGGGGCTGGCATGGAAGCACTCGATCGACGTCGGAGCTGGTGTCATCGATGCAGATTACAGAGGTCCGGTTGGGGTGGTGCTGTTCAACTTTTCTGATGTTGATTTTGAGATCAAGGAGGGTGACAGGATTGCACAGCTGATCATTGAGAAGATCATCACCCCTGATGTTGTCGAGGTTGAGGATTTGGATTCCACGTTCAGAGGTGCCGGAGGGTTTGGGTCTACCGGAGTTTAGAACCCTCCCCCTTCCCCTAGCCACTCTACTGGTGGGATCTGGGACTTTGGGAACAATGTAGTTAGGTAGTTTTATTGAAGTTGTTGGTGACCGGTCTACTCCCACAAATATTTTCAGTCAATGAATTGAGTAACTGGTTTTATTTTGTCCGTTTAATTTGCTTCAGTTTGAAGACCAAACACGGAAGATGACTGAAAATATAAAAGATTCAATACGCGATTCCGTGATTGCAAAATTGCTAGAGATATATTATATGCATCTATTTTTTTGGACAGCATTTCTTGGAACCCAGAAGCGTATCAATTCGACTACAATTATGATCAATGTAAGGTATTAGAAAATTGCAAGCAAAACTGGTACCGCGGTATTCCGTATTGATTGTAGTTGATATACATGAGGTTAAAATTTATTCGTTCAGCTGACTTCAAAGTAGATTAACCCGTCAAAAGGCAACCATATCTGTGGCAAAAGGCAACTATATCTGTGGCAAAAGTGTCGGAAGGTCAGCAGGAATATCTTTACTTGCCTGTCATGAAAGAAAGTAATTTAGTTTCATGATACTTACATTCCAAACCGTATCTCAAACAGTCCAACAGGAGACAAATCTCCCGAGAAACTTCAGCTGATCTACAATTCCAAATGAAAAACTTGATTTGCATACCTCCAAGTATTTTGTTAACAACGTTGCGGTACTGTAGTTGAAGCCCTCGATAGGTTGCCCTTTTGTACGAGATGCATTGAGTTGCTTTCTAACTTGACTAGCCAATGACTGCTCACAACACAAAATGTCTTAAAAAATATGGAGCAAGCGCACAGAAAACTCATCCTTAAATGGAGAGGGGGTTGATGAAAGTTAATGCAATTCTGTACCTTTCCCAATTCTACTCCCCACTGGTCAAAAGAATTGATTCCCCATACGAAACCTTCAACTGCAATTCTGTGTTCATAAATTGCCAACAACTGGATGCAGGCAAGTTGATATTAGAATGCCAAAGCAGTACAGACTATAAAATTCCGACAAATATAAGGTTATACTTCATATAGCACACGACCAGGACAACTTCCAGTAGAAAACAAGCACGGAGACCAAACATGCAGGCCTTGAATGTTATCTTATAGAATTGACAAGTTTGCAAATATGTGGTGAATGCCAACTTATCAAGCAATAAACTGTTTGTGTTTGAATGTGCAGAAAACCTAACAAGTCGAAAAACTATAGGATGACTAGAGCACATAACAAAAGGTCGAAAACGGAAACAAATAACCTGCCCGATGTTGTAAGCATTAAGTGATGGAAGCAGAAGGCTGAGAGAAGGCCGATTTCCAGTGAAAGTCTGTGAGAGATGTGTAATAATTAGCAACACTTATTTACCTATAAGCCAATGACTAAAGCTGAAAGGAGCTCACCTTATGAGTGATAAGATGCTCTGGAACATTCTCTTTCTTCAGCTGTTCTGGGTGCTACAAGAAAATTGATTTTGGTTAGAAACATCGTAGACCATATTTATGTGCTGCTCTATTAATAGAGAGAAAATTGCAAGTTTATTTGCTAATCTTGGTTTTATCATTTTTTCTGTTTTATCCTTTTTAGCATCATGGTGCAAACTCATTTTCCTTGAAAGAAGAAGGGCATAAGTTTAGTTTATGTAGCTAAGAAATAATAAAAAGATCAACCTGGGAGTCGGCATAAATCATACCTTTCCATAGGCAAGGGCATCGGGCTGTGCAAAAAAGTTAGACATGAGCTCATCATGATTACTCACCACTTCACCTGTAGCAATCCGCTGACTAAACATTAATTCAAACTTTGAAAAATACACTGACAGCTAAAATCTTTTCAGAAGAGTTTTAAATTATGTACCTTTCAGGTAAACAGGTTGCTGACTCTTCACAACACCAATAAAGTCACAAGGAATAACACGGCCCTGATCATTCAGGAAGAAAAACGTTAGCAACCATACACGCACAACATAAACAAAAGTATCAAATGAATCATCTGAAGGTCAGTAATGTGCTTGATGTTCCTTCACATGTGACTAGAAAACTGAAGGTTTTGTAAATCATTTTTCATGCTAACCTAATTGAAAGTTGAGATCACCTGGTGAATTAGTTGGTAAAAGCTGTGCTGACCATTTGTTCCAGGTTCACCAAAGTCTATTTCACCAGTCTCAAAGGGAAGTATTACACCATCAATTGATACACCCTTGCCGTTACTTTCCATGCTAACCTAAATTGAAGAAAAAATTGGAAGATATAAATTAAAGGTCCAGTTAACAAAAAATTGCAGATAGAGGGCAGGGGTGAACTTGCCTGTTGAATGTGCGGAGCAAGCTTCTCCAGTGCTTGGGAGTAAGGTAAGATAGCCTAGGGATAAGTAGCAACAAGTAAAAACACAAAACTCATTGATGCTTACAAATATGAAATCTGGAAAGGATAAAATAATACTCACTCTTGCAGGGTATCCAAGAAATGATACATTCCATATGCTCAACAGACCTAAAAGAACCTAAAGCAAGGATGAAACGTTAGATAACACATCACCAATTATATTACAAGGCAATCATTCTACAATAATTATGACAATACAAACTTTGGGTACTCACAGGTATATTTTTCTCAAATGGTGTTGAGTAGAAGTGTTGATCAATGCTTGAAGCTCCCTTTAAGAACCTTTGATTAGGAAATATAACATCCAAGTTAGTATATACAAAGATCATTTACCAACTAGTGAATTAAACATATAATTCAGTACTTTATTTTGGCATGCAGTTTCAGAAATCTCACATATAAAAAATGTTTATCAAGTACATACATTTACTGGAGAAAGCAACGACCTTTTTTTGTTTTGTTCAACAGAGCAGTAAAAGTTTTAGTTTCTCTATATTAACTACATTTCCATTGAATCCTGGATAGAAAAATAGAATAGACAATTAAATCCTAATCTGCAGCCTCATGGAGGGAGAAATCAAATCCAGGCATCACAAACTTCAAAAATGACTATATATAATTGAAACAACTACAAGTGGCTTACTTCTCAACAACTGAGAACCCATACTGAAGAGATAAGGGCAACACTCCAACAGCACTACAAACTGCAACCAACAATTCAAAAATACTAATTAAACATCAAGGTAGCTGCAAATATCTATATGAGAAGGCAAACAACTTACCACTATATCGGCCACCAACCCAGTCCCAAAATGCAAAAGCATTTCTTGGGTCAATTCCAAATTTCTCTACAAGCTGAAACAGAAAAAGATAAAGATAAACACGTGGATATTGACCTTAAAATTTCATCGTGGGTTTTCAATAGAGCACCTAAATCTGCCAAGTATTCATCTCAAAATATAACCAGTCCTAATGGTCTTAATAAATTGCATCAGCAATGAAACCAAAAAGAAAAACTTAGAAATTTATTATGAAAAATGAATAATGACTATAGTTAATTAAAATATATGATAATCTGAGTGTTCAATCAGCCAAATGCAAATGAACAATGGAAACTATACCGTAAGATTAGTGCTGACTGCAACCATATGCTTTGCAACTGCAGCAGGCCTGAAATTATTACATTCAACCATGAGATAGAGAGAGAGATTAACTGAGTCCAAATTCAATCATCAAATAATAAACAAATCTCGAATCCCAAACAACTATTAGACCCATATATCCAAGAAGAGTTAGCAAATGCACTAACCCGAGAGAAGATGAAATCCATTCCCTAAGGGTTCGAGCATTCAACATAGTTTCAGCTGTTGTAAAAGTCTTTGAAACTACCACAACTGCAAATATCAAAAGAATATGAACAATAAGAAACCCCGCATAAAGCTTAGATCACTACTTTACTTCAAAAGTCAATACTTGGCATATAAATAAGCTCAATGCTTACCAAGGGTAGTTTCTGGGTTGAACCCAGCAATATTTCTGGCAACATCAATAGGATCAACATTTGCAAGACTACACACAAAAGAAAACAAAGTATTAGATTGACAAAATAAAGTATCATATGGATAATATTATTGAACTGTTGTGTATTGAAAAAATGATTAATAATCATAAAGTGATTCAACCATATCAGAATACTCTTAGACCACAATCATAGATCTTCTGATAAATATATGTACACACAAAAAATATGTACGACTGAATACAGGCTATGTTTCTTCAACCAACACAACTACAAAGCAAACCCACAGAAAAAAGATCGTTTTCCAAAAGAAAAACAAAGAAAATTTGAAAACCAAAACCGTGCCATATCTTAACATCCAATGTCCGGTATCAAATACAGAACACTTCTCTCAATGTTTTTAACATTTGCATCCCTCCTTCAAGAACTATACCACTGTAATAAACTCATGAACACAGATTATGTCATTGTTACAATCAGTTGGCCCTAAAAAGGAGTTGGAAGAAAGCTAACCTGCAACCTTTGACAACATTAGGGGGGAAATCACTTAAAAAGCCTCACGCAATGAATTCTTACCATCACATCTTACTGGTTCTAATTCATTAATATAGAGAACTTAAAATTAATAAATAAAAGTTCAGTGCGAAAGTACTTACAAATGCAGCTGCCTTCCCTTTGCTGCTTCCATAGCCTCTGGATCTGTAAGATGGAATCAAACTAATGAACACTTGCTAAACTTTTTTCTGAAGCAAGTTTAATCATTTTCACAAGGAAAACCCACGGTACAATGTACAAAGAGAAGAAAATATGAATAGAGATGTAGATCGATGAAATGTATCAGGGTGACCTGTTTGAAGAGCTGTGTGCACAAATAGAGGACCTAAGAAGCTGCCACCAATACCAACCGCAATAACATCCTTCAATGCTTTTCCTGTGGCTCCAACCTACCAGAATTGCCAATCACTTCAGAATTCAAGCAAAATGGACCTAAAAAGGATAGCAAAAATTTTTTTGGTTGATTACCCAAGATCCACTTCGAATACTCTCTGAGAACTTTTGGATCTTGTCCAGAACTTCCCAAACATCCGGGACCACATTTTTCCCATCACACTGTATAGCTGCATCCCTTGAAGCACGAAGAGCTACATGAAGCACCGATCTATTTTCTGTGCTGTTTATCTGAGGCACCATCCAGAAAACAAAAATTCAGAAGAATCGTAGACTATTGGTTTGAGAAATTTGCTGGTCTCTTCCATAAACCCTATAAAGCTTCAAAAGATGTTTTGAAATAATACTCCACCAAAGGAAGATAAACATGAGCTTACATGCTCTCCACCAAACATTCGATTAATCTTCTCTTTGAGGGATGCAGCCTGCATTGTGGAATACAAAACATTAACAAAAAAACAATACATTCACCCAACCCCTCCCAAAGAAGGGGAATTTAGGAATGATCCAACCCCACCTCCGCCAACTTGAGGAGCTTCTGCAAGGTTTCAACTGTGGCACACTGCCGCGAGTAGTCCAACAGGAGCCCATCAAACTCACTGCAAGAGTAAATGCACACATTATCAAGTTCCAATATCCATAGTTCCATACAAAACAAGGATTATATAAAATTGAATTAAGATTAAAAGCTTTCATAAGTTCCGATATATGAACATACACCGTCATTGCCTGGGACCGCTTGACATCGTTCAGCAAGTTGCGCAAATGGGTCTTCTTTATGTCTTCAACGTGAGCCTGAACAACAAAAAATTACCTATAATTAACGCAAAATCAGAATACTTTCAACTCCCCGTTCGCAAAGAGGTATCATCTCGATTACCTTCAAATCCTTCCACGGCTGAGCATCAGAGATCAGAACAGACGAAGCCATTTCAGATTATGCTGAATCACTTCTCAACCAAATTCCCTTGCATTGAAGAATTGTGTTATTTTTCGACCAACATTAAATAAATTTTCATACATTTACCAAAAGAAAGCTGAAAACTTTGACTAGCTCTCACGTACTCCTGGAGCAGAAAATTTGCAGCAAATATTCTATCTTTTTCCTAGCGTTTCCGGGGAAGCAAACAGAAAAAACAATCAAATTGCCATTCTTTTCGCTTTTTATTTTCACCTGATCCTTTTTCTGCTAACGATATTCAAAATTGAATGCCTTCTTTTGCCGACTGGGTATCATCTAAGATTGCGACAGCCCGTCGTACTCAATAATTACCCAAAGTTTCGATAAATAAAGCTGGCGTGAGAGAAACGCGAATAAAATTCGGATCAAATCCGAATGAAAATAAAGAAATTGAGCAAATTGGCATTTCTCGGGAACCAAACAGGAAAAAGAAAAATCAAATTGGCACTGATTCTGCTTTTTTAAGCCGATCCTTTTTCTGCTATCAGAGTACACAAAATCGACTACAGAATTTCACTGACGTCGTACTCAATGCTTTACACAGAACAAACTTTCCATCTTTTCCTAGCGTTTCTCGGGAACCAAACAGAAAATATGATCAAATTCGCAATTTTTCCCGGCTTTTTTACCTGAATTTTTGTTATAACTAACAAATTACAAATCGACTGTAAAATAATACTGAATTGCGTATCCCCTGTGATTGCAACAGCACATCCCCATCAACAATTGACCAAAAATTCGATAAATAAAGCTGGCGTGAAAGAAAAGCGAATAAAATTGCGATCGAATCCGACTGGAAATAAAAAAAAATTGATAGGACAAAATTAAAAAAAAAAAAAATACTTTAAAAGTAAATAAAAAATGGAGATGATGTCTACCTGGTGGAGCCTCGAGAAGGAAAAATTCTTGGTGCAGAAGAAGATAGATTTGTAGACTGGCAGAAGGTTTGGAAGCACGCTAAAAGGAAAGAGAGAAGCTTCGGGCTCCATGTCCACTGTGTCACCGGGCCTACTCGGTGAATCGGTGACTCGGGCACGTGAAAGCCGAAACTGTGGTTGTTTTTTCGGATGGATCGGACACGTGGCAAAGTACGATTGCATAGAAAACAGGGAAAAATGTAAAAAATTAAAAAGGTTCCGTTGCCGGGAATCGAACCCGGGTCTCCTGGGTGAAAGCCAGATATCCTAACCGCTGGACGACAACGGATTTGTTGTATGCCTCACCTCGCTAAATATATTTATTAGAACATGGAAGAGAAGCCTTTGCATCCCATGCTTATTTTTTCAGACCTTTTGTTATGAGTTAGTTTTATTTTTCACAACTTTTACCACGTGCAAATCGTGGCCTATATAAAACGGGAACAATTATCCCAAATGGACTAAGATAAAAAGAAACATTTACAAATTAAAATTCATCATATATGGTACTTAAAAGACTTCTATTTCCATTGTATACATGTTTATAGTTTTGATTCTAAATGAGTTTTTCACTGCATTTCAAAGTTCTACTATGGTGTACTTCCCTCCATTCCCGATCCGATCCGGCCGCGTTTGAGCCTCTAAACTTCCTCTGCAAAACTTTGTCTGAGGTTGACAACTTCTGCTGCAAAATGAAACAAAGTTCTTGCTATCATTCCATCAACCCAAAGACCGCAAAAAGAAAAAAAAAAGGCAGCGAAGTGCATTCTCATCTCTCACCATTGTAGAAACGCATCATCATACTTTTGGCTCTTCGAAGTGGGGAACTCTTCTGGGTGTAAGGACTTGTGCATCCATCGTAGTTAAAAGTTGCGGTATCGACAGACCTCCTGAGATGACAATTTCTGAAGCAAATGAAAACCAAAAGAAAACAGCTATGAGAAGGCGAGATACATATTTAGATAGTACATTATGTTGCAAATATTTCTGTACGAAAGAGTCATACCAATCCCCTCTCCAACCGACAGATTTGGTCTCAGAATATCCTTGGGACTGATCAGAAAAATGTCTCCCAGATAAAGATGGTTGGTAGGTACATAAACGCAGCATAGCTCTTCTCCTACGTTTCTTTGATCAAGAACAACTGTTGAAGTGATAAACCCTAATGCATACTCCCCGATTCTTGGATGCCTTATGATCGCCACTTCCTTGAAGGCGTTTATGCTCTGATCTGCAAAGCGATGTAAAATGAGTGGAAAATTCTGGAACATGGAAACTTAGACTACGATTTATTGTATGGTTTGCAATGTACCTGGTGATATTGCTGTGCTAATTTGCTTTGATGCAGCATAGATATAGCTTAGAAGTGGCATTTTCGTAATAAACCACTCCCATAGAGTAAGAACAGAAGTTCCCAACCACGACTGCATGAAAACGCCGACTAAGAAGATGAAGGCGAGGGAGGTGGCAAATCCAAGACCTGCATATTGACATCAACAGTGTACATGTTTTGCTTCGTAAACTAGGCCCCGAAAAATGATTGAAACAGCCTTCCACTTAACACATTGCAGATCCTATGGGAGTTCATCAGGGTAGGAGTTAAGTCTTTTGCTTTGCACAGAAGATTGATTACATCTTCAAAGTTTATGCCTACTTACCCATGTCGACTAACCCACGCAAGTCACGCTAAAACTCGAATGATGACGAGTTTGTAACACAAACTTGAATTCTTCGACTCTTTGGAAATAAATTTACAAGACAGAGAAGCAATTCTGCTTACCGAAAATATTGATTCCGAGGTGATTGTAGACTGGGGAGAATAAACCATCAACAAATTTAATGAAAGCCCATGTGATGTAGAACGTAATAGCTATTGGAAGAAGAATGACACTGCAAAGAAAAAACAAATCATGAAACATATCACAAAAAATGTCGATTTGGACAGTAATTTGTATACATTTCAAGAGAATCTATGAATCAATTTGCTTTGAAATATTAAATTTTAGTAAATTACCACTTAACTAATATTTGAGTTTGTAGATACGGGTTAAGTAAGTTGGTTAGGGCAGAGTGCCCACCCTAGCACTTAAGTTCAAATTCCCCCTCCGTAAATTAGAGTATTTACTTGATGCCAAGTAACAACAAAGCGTTCATTTTCATAATATGTGAAATTGTGAATGTTAACCCATCATTTAATTGAGATTAAGCGACTAGGGATCGTTGTGGCAGGTACCCGGAGTAAGTCCGGCTTCATTGGAATCATACAGAAGTGCAAACGCCACAGAGCAACTAAACAGTGTTGACGAAGAATTAAGAGGGATTAGAAGAGATAATATGTTACCATCCAGTCATAAACTTCTTTGAAGCCCAGCTCCGAATTACTTTCGAAAATGCCTATACAAAAGAACAAGCAAAGAATTTAATTTCATGTAACTTTCTGAGAAAATATTTGATCTAACGTCACTAGGCAAGTAACAAAACAAGGATATGAACAACGAGATCACACTATTTTCAAGTTATGTTAGAATGTAAGCGTCGAACCTTAAACCAATTTGCGAATGTGACATACTAGACTTTCATCGTTCGATATGAAAACAGATCAACCATAACTACCAAAATCTATCTTCACATTTCATCCGTATTCATATGATTATGCAATATTTATAAACCTAATTGGGAAAGGCAAGAAGGAAAATGAAATTGGACGAAAACCTCGCGGCCAGTTTGATGATGGGAATGGGAGGTGGTGGGAGGTGGGGAGTTTGGTGGGGAGGAGGATTTGGAATCTCCTCCGTTTTCGGAAACGGCAGCGACTGGGATGAGGAGCTCGAGATCCCTTTCTCTCCCGCTCGTCGCCATTGTTGTTGCTTTGCGTCTGCGTCTCTGCCTCCCTTTGTTTTTCAGGAATGCTCGGAAGTCGGACCACTAACTGAAAATCAAATTTAACCAATCATAGCTTCCTCAGCTGTTGTTACTTGTATTTCCCGGGTTGAACCGGGTCCAAATAAACAAGCCCATCACGTTTATATATTATAGTCTCACATTTTTCTTCTTCTTATGGGATGAATTGATGTTATAGATAAGAAGAAACTACAAGACATTGGTGAAAGGGAGATGTTGAATCCAAGGAGTACATAGGATTATTAATAGTTGTCCGCGGTGGTCATATGACTGGTTTGGAAGTTCTTTTAAAATAACTAAAAGCGCTTTTGGTGAAAGTGTTTTTGGATTTTAAAAGCAATCTCATCAAAAGTGTTTCCAATCATTTTAAAATAACTTCCAAACGAGTTGCCATACCATAAATATAACATGTACATTAACTAACTCGTTAAAATCACAATGATACGTAATGTGAACAGGAATAAGTGGATAAAAAATTAAAATTAAAATTACAAACACGTAATCACAAAAATACATAATACGTCGAGGTACAAATTTAAGTACACCAAACCATGACATCAAACTCTTCAGCTGTCTCATAGAATAAGTAATAATCACTTGACAAAATGTAGAAAACATTTCTTCACAAAGAATCCTAAATCCTAAGCAAACATACATATTCAGGAGGCAGATTAACTGATATCCCTCCGTATACATTTCTGAGTCTTCCCAGGTTCCTTCATACATCTTAATTACTCCCACCTGGGTAGTTGCAGCTATCATAGCCTACGCAACACAGAAGGGTACAAAGTTTAATAAATGAAAAGAAGAAAAAAGATCAAGATTAAAAACTTACTAGGGTTGTTGGATGTGAGTGTGGCGGTTTGCGAGAAATCGCAGTTCCAAGGTTCTCTGCCAGCGGTTTGATATAGGAGATTCATGGCGTAAGTAGCATGGGATTTTACTGTGTTTGGTTCAAAACAAGACCCTCCGGGTTGAATTGGAGTGCAATCAAAACCATGTCCACAAACATAATCTATATTAGCCTGTAACTGAGAGTCTGATACGCCGGCCTTGGGCACACAATATGATCCTTTCTTTGGCTTTGGCCCCGATGGATTCACTGGCGTGGGGGGCATGGATGGTGTGGTGGGTCGTAGATGGCGTGGTGGGCGTGGTAGGGGTCTGAAGCAAAACAAATCAAGTTAAATTTAAACACTGCAACAAAAAACATTTAGAACATGTCAGTCCCTTTGTAACTTGTTACTCGTCGGACTTGGAATGCAGTAGCTGATACTATAATCAATTTCGATTGGCCCTAGCTAAGTCCGTCAGGGTTTGTAGTACAACTAAAGGTCGACATGTTTGAAGGTAATCGACAACCAGTTGGATCAGCATATCAAAATTACCATAAAATCACAAATTGATGATTGCGATATCATGATTTTTACCTGGCTGCTCTTAGAGAGACCAACATCATAAGTCATGGTGAGGTCAGGCTTGAAGAGACCAAATGCTCTCTCAGACCCAGGGCCAGGCTTCAAGTTCTCATCGTAGAGTGCAAAGAGGTAAGTGTCCACGGACTTTCCCGGCATCAATGGCGTCCCAACCATTGATCGAAGGTGCGCAATCAGGTTTCCGTTATAAGCTTTCGCGTTCTGGACACTTGGACCAACCTCATTGTCGTCCCCTTTGTACGGCCACCCGGTCTCCGCCACCACAATTTCCACCCCCTTAAAGCCTATAGAGTCCAATGCCGATCTTATTGCATCCACCTATACAGAAATGGGCGGTAACATTTTTGAGTTTGTTAGCCACGTTAACTAGAGCAAATGAGCTCTCATGCACTCGAATTTGAATTTTTAGTACTGAAGCGTATATTGATTTAAAATTGAATATCGCTCGTAAAAAGAAACAAACGGAATGAATAAATAACGGTCTTGGACCGGACAAGGCCGGTGGAAATAATTTACCTGAGCATCGAACATGTTCATGTAATTAATCTTTGTGTTGGAGTCGAACCGCCCATTATTTGGCTGAAATAGGCAAAAAGCCAATGTCTCGGGTCTCGGGTCACTCCGGTACGCGAAATACGGGTACGGGTTGATAGCGAAAGGCGAACCGGTGGCGTTATTAAACCCAAGCAACGCCTTCATGACGTCACCAAAACCGGGATCGAACCTTGCGGAGGACGGCGGCTCGGAATGCTTGAGCACCGCCATGGAGTGTACGGTGGAGACCTTGATTTGCCCGCCGAGAGACAAGGAATTGAGGGCGTCTTGAACATTCTTAATCGCCGGGACCAGCTGAGAAATCAGGCCCTGGTCGCCGTAAGTCAAGACCTCGTTGCCGACGGTGATGAGGATGATGTTGCTCGCCGGGTAGAAAGGGGACACGTTGGCTCCAACCCAACTCTTGGCGAAACTCGGGTCGGATGCGAGACCAGGGATGTCGCCGTTCGATGCTCCGATGACGATGCCCAAGCCGGTGTTCGCCAGGGCTTTGATTATGGCCGGGTCGGACCCGTAAAGCCGAACCTTCTGGATTGAAGTTGACTGGAGCAGCTTCGCGGTGGACGACGGTGGCGGTAGGTTGTCGGCAACTTGGCCGTAGTTTACCCCGATAAATGATTGGCAATCTGCATTAAAAAAACAGAGCAATTAAATTATGGGGTTTATTTCTTTTGAAAAATATATTAGAATTCAATCAATCAACATTTTTTACGAGCTTACTTGCGAGGTTAATGGATAAAACGAAAAGTGCTACTGTATGAAGAAATGTAATCGCCATGGCTGAAGACAGAGTGCTCTGTTTCTGTGAAGGTGAAAAGAACGGAGGGAGAAAATTAATAGAAGGTAGGAAATTGCAAGACTTGGGGGCAAAATCGTAAAGTGACGTTTTGGTAGGCTTCGACTTCACAAAAGCAAACATTTTTTTCAGTAACATGGAAGAAGGAAAAAAAAACCAATAAAGAACAATTAGTCTAGTTCTAGCCACTTCAGAGCAGTTATTCGAAAGAATTTGTCAAGCTCTTGAAAATTCATCTTGCCTTTTAAATTCAGTTGGGGGAGTCAGCTCTAAAACTATGTTATATGAACATGCTACGAATTACAAATCTAGTTCTCTATGATCAAGCTTCTGTACTCCAATTCATAACACTTCGTAACAATGTTTCGACATAAATATTCTACTAAATATATATTTATTGCTAAACAAATCGTAAAACTGCTTCCAAATTCCTTAAAAATTTTAACTTAATGCTCAGAAAAAATATTTTGCAAAAATAAAAAATTTGCATTTTTTTCAAAACACATGGGTGTTAAAGGGCTCGACTCATGCAAAACGAGGCTGGCTTCGTGCACGCCAAAACGCGTGCGGGCTCTATGGACAGAAAAATGAGCGGGCTTCAGGCAACCAAAATGTTGCTGACACTCACATGCAGAACAAGGCGAACCTAAACACACAAGACTAGGCAGGCTCCGCGTACGTAGAACGAGGTGAACTTCCGGGTACTCAGAAAATGAGTCGGGCTCCATGCATGGAAAATATATTTTGTAAAACATAAATATGATATTTTGTAATAGTGGTAAGAGAAATAAAAGAAAAATGCACAAAAATGATTCAAATATTTGAGGGTGCCAGAAAGTCATGCTCGACTTTCTGGCGCCCCAAGAATTTGAATCATTTTTTAACAATTTTGTTAATTTTTCTTTTATTTTTCTTATCATCACAACCAACTATCATATTCATATTCTTCAAGATATATTTTTTTTCGAGCAAAGTCTATTATAATTCGTATTTGAACACTTGTAATCAATGATTTAAAACCTAAATTTAATGATATTTGAACCTTTTTTTTTTTTTTTTAAATTTTTCTTTTATCTAAATCTACACTATATATAAATATAACCATTGTTGTCAACCAAAAGAGGATCAAGGACTGTTTAACAAAACAAATTTTGTTATTTTTTGTTTAAATCTCACCTACACGTGATTTTAACGTCTCTAATTTTTTTAAAAAAAATTAAAAAAATATAACTAAATATATATTTTAACATCTCTATATTTATAACTTTTTTTTTTTTTACTGAGAAAGAGCATCTTAGCACATATGTAATGACAACAACAAACATTGATTTTTTATAATCAGTCAAAAGAACAACAAAATCTAAACCCAAAACCATTTTATCTCATTAGAAGACGAACGGAAGAAGAAAAAAAGCACTTTTGTTAATCTACGGTCTACCAAAATCAATACCAGCCACATTACACAAAGCGAAATTTTCTTCCTTACTAAGAAAGAAGCACTTCGTTTTAGAAAGTGACTACATTTCCAGCTTAAAAGAACTTTGAGCAACATAAATGAAGCAAGGCATTTGCCAAATAAAGCACTGTGAGAAAAAGTGCTTCTCATATATTAGTAGAATATTAATTTGGTCACTTGAGGAGCAACAAACGCACAAAGGTAAGCTGACTTTGAGAAGTTGGGTATAATTGGCGCGCAAGTAACCTTTTGAATAATGCTAAGAATAATGGAAAGGAAACAAGATTTCGAACATTCAAAATTAAGCCTTCTGCTTACCACTTCTTGAAGGCTTTAATTAAACAGTTCATGAAAGAAATTCCAGTTCGGGTGGAGCAAGAGCAAGCGGAGCATGGCGATGATGTTAACCGGACAAGTAGTTTACCGATAGAGCAACAAAAGCAACCAGTACAGGTTCATGTGGAGCTTTCACCCTTGCGGAACATGGGCTCAATAGTTTACCGATAACTTGCGCAAGAGCTTCATAAATTCGTAGCACTAGACGAAGCCAATCAAAATCGCATAATCTCTTTGGACCGGATGGCGGTTATGGCCTAATACAATTGTTCGCTTAGACCTTGGATTCTGGTCTCAGAGCGAACAAATGAAGATCAATTTGTTGGAAGCTAACTGGTACAGAAAAGAAGTCAAGAATGCAGAATTAAAAGCATAGATGTTACATTATTCATCTCCTGAAAACCCAAATATGAATTTCTTATTCACTAGGTTAATGTATCGCTGAAAAACCCGTGCGAAAGAGGTCTCTCGTAAGCTCATCTACAAGTCCACTGAGCACAAGCCTCTCCAAATCTTTCACGACTTCATCTACTTCAACAACTGCAAACATAGTTTTATCCCAGCCCATATCCCACATGCAATTCACGTCCGGCTCCCAGCTATGCATATCGCTTTCCAGCATTTTCGGCAGATACTCTTCCGCCTCACATTCATATTTTCCTTTTCTCCCGTAGAACTTCAGAGTCTCGAAATCTTTATGCAGTTGCCTAACCAGCTCATTCAAGGACCGTACTTTGACAAAACTTATTGATATCTTCTCGCATTTAGGATGAACATTGAGCTCATGCCTTATCCCTTTTCGTTTCATTACTTCGTAGGCACAGTCTAATGTGAGCTTGCTGTCTACATCTGGGTTGCAGTCGTGGCCACTGTCGTGAAGAATGCTGAAAGGGATGTCGAGCTCGAAAAGTGCTTCTGCTGTGTTGAGGAAATGATGGCTCTTGATCACTACCTGCTTCAGGTGGTTTTCATTTTCTGTCTGTGGCTCTTGTTTTCTCAGGTTGAGTGCTTTATGGTGCTCCAATACTTCTGCATAACAAATGTCACGGTTTCCTGCAACTTTTAGAAACTTAATGAGTTCGCATTTTGTGGAAGACGAGAAAACTTACCTGCAACAAGATGCCACCATGGCTTGTATTTCAAGCCACTAACACATTGTCATACTTTTAACTTCCCCACATTGCAGTGATTGGCTTGAGATACTGCCACAGTGACATTCCCAGTTGCAGAGAAGTTTTTCTCTTGTAAGAAGGGAAGTTGAATTGAAAGAGGTTCTACTTACCATTAACTGTAATTGATGCGGTTAAGCACTCATCATCTCCGAAAGCAGGTGCTTGATCTTGCTGATCATACTGCATAACATACAAAAAAGCTTAAGTCAGTTACCAGCCTATTTCGAATTAGACAAAAGTTTGCAACTGAAGAAGTATCTTTTATTTGGAAAGTTATCAATTTTCAAATTTTGTAAAGATGGACATACACTTTCCTTTGGAAGTAGAGTTTGTGATTTTTCGAGGCTTCGACTTTCAACTTCATGGATCGTACAAAATGGGAGCCTCCAGCTCTGCTTCTTTATGTAGGTTTTGCGCTGAATCTAATGGTTGAATGCTTGCCGTTGACTTGTTGAACTTGGCGATGCGTGGCTCAGCTTGTTTTAGCCTGCTGGCTCGAACTTTTTCTGTTGCATTGTGACTACCACGTTTTTCATGGCTTTGTCTGGTTGCCACTTCATCGATTCTTCGAGGCATTTCACTTTTATTCACTCTTCTAGATTTTGCCTTCTGCAGTGGTGGTGCTGCATGAACTGATCTCTCCTCCATAGCCGGTAGAGTGCCAAATTTTTCTTTTGCTGGTTGAGGATCCGAGAGTTCGGTGAAGAATCTTTCTTGTTGAAATTCAAGTCAGCGGAACTTTTGCTTCTGACCAGATTTTCATGATATTTGCCATTTGGAACTCTTGTGGATTGCACTGTTGCAGCGGCTTCTCTAGCGATTTTCTTATTTACCCTAGCTAGCTCTGCAAGTGTCTGCTTCTTTTGCATATCTACTGCCCCTTTTGACTTACTTCTTGATATCATTTCGCTTCTTCGTTGTTTTTTCGCCACCAACTTTGGTTGTGGAATCTGCTGCTCCTTTGTCTTCCGGCTGCGCTTTTCTTTCGGTGACTCAGATTTGAAAGCCATGGATTGCTGCTGGAGTTCAACATTATATGGGGACTTACGCTGCTGATTTCTTGGGAGAACGTTGTTCCCATTTTGCTTTTCCACTGGAACCCGAATTTCCTTGAACCCTGGTTTTGCTTGCATCACAGGTTTATCCTGTTTGAAGGTCTGAGTAGGTTTTTGGTGCTTATCTAATTTGATGGTTTCATTTCCTGATATCGCCACGGGTTTAAATTCTTCCGGATCATGAACAACTACCCCAAGGCTGATATTATTGGCAAGCATGCTTTTTCCTGCTTGTGAAACAAACGTCGTATTCTGCATCAACGGATCCATAGTCTTAACCCCAGAAATCTTACTGCTTTCGTTTGTTGTTTGCTCTATCACGTGCCTTTCTCTTTTTGACTTGGAACTCAAGTCTTCCTCCACGGTGTGCTTCAAGTTTTTGTTCTTTGGAAGCTCATTCAGCCCCATTAGTTTTGTAATTACATTTGGAATCCTCTCCTTTTTTGGTTTAGACTCTTTCTGTTCTGTTGATGGATTCTTGACACCTGCGGTATAGCTGACTGATTGCCTCTGAGAAACTGATGTTGAGGAGGTTATTTTCCCTTGCTTTTCGCTGTTTAAGCTACTACCTTCTGTAGTGTAAGTTGGAGCTGCAGTCACCTTCTGCCCGAACCCCGGCCTTCCAACTTCTTGATTTTTACGCCCGTGTCTCGAACCCTTGTCAAAGGAGAAGCTTGGCAGATCAATTTGCTTTTCCTCAGCCATTTTGACAGCATTATCTTCCTCATCTTCATCCTCATGTAGCAATGTGATCCCATTTTTCCTCTGAGAGGCAACTATGTATTCAGAAGTTTCCTGCAGGTTTACAAGCATTCTCAAGGACTCTTCCAAATCCATTGCCTCTTTCACTAACTCCTTCCCAACTTCTATTGAAAATCTATCAACATTAAGTCCATTCGAGCAGGCCTCTAGGATCTGATTCAATTTATGTGCTCCTTTCGATATTTCTTCGATATGGTGATGAGAAAGGTTAGGAAAATGGTTACTTGAACTGAAGTCCCTATTCGCGCTACCTTTTCCTTCCATCTTGCTGAACTCCACGGCTCCCCTCCCAATTTGATTAAAAAATCCTAGCATTGAACTTCTGCTAGATGTATCCACTTTCCCAAGCTTTCCTGGATTTTCAAGTGCAAAGGCCAAGGCCCTGGAAAAATCTCCCATTTGTTCCGAGCTCCTACCTCCTCTCCCATAAGCAACAATCTGATTCGAACCCTCTTGAACAATCGGTGTTCTGCTACTTCCTCCGGAGCCAATCTGCAGTAGTTGGAAAGAAAAGAAAAATATTTGGACCAAATTAACGAAGTTCATTCAGTCCTGATTTCTCATCTAATTACAACAATTTCACGTAAGATTACTTACTGGTCCATTGGTGCTTACATCCACTCTTCCTCTATAATTCTGCTTGGAACAAGCATATGCATCTGGATGAACGCATGAAAAAAACATAAACCTTATTTCGATCAATCTTTTTTCCCTTGCATCGACTTTTTTTACCCATGATTACTTGCAATAAAAAGGACACATAACTGGATTCTTTCCTTGAGAATTATTTTTGTGGTTAAATTTCTACACTTGTTGCTGCTTTAACTGCAGCCTTTATTCGTGCTCTTTGATAGTGATGAACAATTAATTAAACATTTTCCTCATTAAGGACTAATCAGTGAGATCAATAAACTTTCAATATGGTACACAACTTAGATTAGAAACTTACCTATTGCCATTGAATTCCAACGGTTTGAACTCTGAGGCGCACCCATTTTCTCCTTGCGGACGCGAAGATCGTCCAGCAGCTTCTGCGCAAAATCTGATCTCTTTGCCATGCTGTGCTTGCAGTTCAGCTCGCAGCTACATCATATGTTTCAGCAAGAAATTGGAAGACTCTGTTGGGGGGCATTAAATTTAATGACAAAAAAAAATAGAGAGGCGAGAAGGGAAGCTCAGTTTACATAATTTGTGGGTGGATCGAGGGATCCTTTCAAAGTTTGGTTTCGGTGGCAAGTCCCAAGTCTCTCTCTCTTCTCTCTCTCTCAGCTTTCTCTCTCTTACTCTCAACTCCGTTACCTATACCGCTGTGGTCGTGTGAGTGACCAACTTATATTCCAATCTAAGCAAAGGCTGAGGATTTTTCAATGGGCCCTCGCTTTCAAGCTCTCTGTTTCATTAACTTTTTCCTGTTTTTATGTATGGCTTAAAGCCTTAAATCCATGATTAGTGGAAGCCAAATCAAGACGTACTGATAATAACCAAGAAACACGCATGCAAATTTCTCAAGCTAATTGACTTAATTGATTAAAGGGTCCTCGTTAGAAGAAATACATAATTGCTGAATCCACACTCATTGTGCAGCATTAGTTGAAAGGGCCCTATGCTCAACCTCTCTACAAGATCTTGACACTGTTTGCTGCCTATTGGAGTATCTCCACCGGTTCCCAGTTGCCTCTGCAATTGGATTGAATTGCCTCCAACCTAAAAATATATTTCCACCAATCCAAAAAATGATAGGGCAATTGGGTCAAGGGCTTGCGCCCTTTCAATTGCCCTTACAATTGTTGCACGGGCTTGTGCCATTTGAATTAGCTGAAGGGAATGGGAGGGCCACACCCACGCCACGTGATACCCCCCACCCCCCTCCTTTTAACACAGCATAAACGCCTTGCAAAGTGTGCGAACTATTGGATCTGGAAAGTTGGATTTCCAACATAAAAAAATAAAAAATAAAAAAGCCAACGTCTTTTAACAACACGTTTAAAATACTACACACTAAGAAACTTACGAAGTTCGACCATCTTCTTCATTAAGTTCAACCACCTTCTTCGTTTGCCCTTATTTTTGTTTTAGGTAATTATTTTTAACTAAATATGCTTACAAGGCATAAAATATTAAAAGAAATACATTTGTGAAAGTAATCGCCCTTGTCATTGCCTTTTCTTTTTTCAAACGGGTAGACTTACACAAAAACAATTACTATTTAAGAAAAATTTCATTGTCCTTGCCTTTGCGGTGCCCTTGCCCTCCTAAGCAGGTGGTGATGCCCTTAGATGATAACCAAGAAATAGTGTTTATTCCCAAAAAGTACCACTAATCGTGTACTTGATCTCCTATCATTTGGGTCACCAGCCAAGTCTGCATCACTTAAAGCTTTTAGAGATGACTAATACCACGAGACAGAACAATGAATTGAGACTCCATTCGAGAGTGCATAAATTGGCAGACTTGGTGCACACAAAAAAAACAATATTAGGTCTGGTTATTACTAAATATTGCAAGGCACCAACTATGCTTCTATACAAAGCAGGATTATTGAATGACTTCCCCTCATCTAGTAAAAGTCTGCTATAACATCCCAAATGAGTTACCTACACTCAGCTACACTACGATGGCATCCCAAATGTAACGCAATGTCATGTGTTTTCACGTTCTCATACGGCATCGCGTGGTGCACACCTAAATACTTGATTTAATATTTACGTTTCTGAAAATACTTCTACAAAAAGAAAAATACAAATGTTGTATAATGTAGGCATAAATAAGCAGACAAGTAAAATTTCCAATGTACAACATTCCCATTGAACTGTCATTTCTTGAGTCTACAAAATAAGATAATATAATACAAAAAATAAAATAAAAAGAACTGGTGCATATGAACAAGAAAAACGATACACAACAATGCCAATATCTAAATTAAAACATCCCAACTAAATTCGAATGGAATTTTTTTTTAAATAAAATAAATTTAAATTTTGCAAATAACATGTATGGTTCGAGATATGCAGATTGACCCAGAAAGGGTTGTGGCAGATCGCCAATCCCGAATTCGGGATTGGATTAAATCCGAGCCTTACCATTTCCAAGCGTGAGCTCCAAGTCATCCAGTCCCACCTCGTGAATCTTCTCTCCGATCCACGGCTTTACGTCCGGAATTTGATCCACGGGAATATTCTGGTGAGGGAAAACAGGCTTCACAAGATTGAGGGTCGGAGAGGCCGGCATTGCCGACAGAGAAGGAGCAAATCTCTGGAAGCAAACCCATTGGCCGGAATCGGCAGTGGAAGTATCGGACTCGTCACATTCCGGGATAGTGGCAGCTGGAGGATGAGTATAGTGGTGGCGGGTCGGGCTCACCGGAGCGGAGATGGCGTAAAACGGGTAATCGAAAGAGCCCATGGACTGTTTAGCGATGGAGTCCCAGTTGGGAATTGGGTTGGGGCGTTTGGAGGTCGGGGAGGAGAGCGGCGGGGTTACAGGGGCACTAGTTGGAAATTCGCAGGGGAGGAAGAGATGATGGGATTGCAGAACGGGGATAGTGGATGGGATTGGATGAATTAGTGCTGGCATCGAAACGGGTGGGACTGGGATAGGACGAAGACGAAGGACTGACTTGGTAGGACGGGATTGGACTCGGATTTAGCGAAGAGTACGGGCTGATCTTGGTTGATGCGCCCGGCGTATCAGTTTGAATTGGCTTCAATCCCTGTACAACAACAAACACAATCAATTAATTGAATTTATCATAATTTTCCATGGATCTAAGCTACGAGCAATTGAAAAATAATTAATTAATTAATTATAAATTAAATAAGGATTTGGAATAATTAAAGAACGGCGACCTTTCGGTAGGTGGTGCCGTCGACCTCGACGGTCCAGCCGGCCTGGTGGCAGAGAGCTTTGAGGACCTCGTTGTTGTCGCAGTGCTTGGGCAAGTTGAAGTTGCCCTGAGATCGGAGGCCCGTGAATATCTTCGCCGCGATGGCTCTCCTCCTCCTCTCTCTCCGCCGGTTGTTCTCCCTCTCCCGCCACGACGGCTTCCTCCGCGCGGTCGTGGCCGCTGACGTTGCCCCATCCGACGTCATTCTCCGAACCAATTAGCTCCCTCTACCTCTCTCTCGGTCGCAGAGATTGTAAATAGTCAAGCTCAGGTGCGTCGCAGGGGATTTAAGCTATGCAGAATCACGAGGAATGCGCTTTCGCTTTTTCGCTGGTTTGTGTGGAAGAATCTTTCGCTCCTTCTTCTCCGTCCCCTTTCTCAGTGTTGGCAGAAATAAAGATGAAGATGGAGAAGTGATAGAACGCATCGCGGCTGCACTCAAGAACCTACTTGTTTACAGTTTTTTCATCAAGGACCGTAAGATTAGGGTCGTGGAATATTTACCGTCCGTGATTGAGGACCTGCCTTACGTACGTGTTTCTCATTGCAGGTGATTGATTCTCTGATGCAAGAGTGTGAGAAAGGAATTCTTTTCGCCGCGTGGATGTTGATTATATAACTGTTTATTTTCCTGCCAAACTAATAATTCTCCCGCGTTTCCAGCCATTTTAGTGGGACCTAAATGGGACCCACTTTTCTGGACACTGGGTTTTTCTGTTTTGTTCTCTGCATGGGAATTTGGGTTGGACCAAGAGAAGAAGGAAAGGAAATGGGCTTAATGTTTAACAAGTCCACTAAGCCCAATCCAAAATTCCAAGTAATAGACCAAACACGCTAAAAAACTGATTGTATTCTTACATTTTTTGGGGAAGAGTTTGCATCTAGCTGGAACGCTAATGTCATCTTTAATGGAGAGGTTAAAGGTATAAAAGCTCAAAATAGCTTAATTTGTCTAAAAAAATCATTTCTAGCTAATGTTTGGGCTATAATTCTATGAAGCCCACCAGATCATTTTTTTGTCAAAAGGGCACTAGGATGTCCTAAGGTGATGACATCTTAAACTGGTCATAAATGTTATGTTAGCAAACCAAAATGCATGGTGGTACATGGTGAAACATTTTTTAAACTATAGTGTCATCTACTATGATATATGGGGAGAAAAAATAAAACCCCGATATTAAAGAGTAAGGATACTGTATTGAGAAATTGTCCTAACCGATATATGATACATGCATGCTACTTAAGAGACTGGATGTAGGAATTCTATAGGTTAGCTAGTACCATATCATACCATTCCAAATTACACCATTTTTGAAAGAAATCAAACGAACGAAGTAAGAGGGTTCACCCAAAAAAACAAAAAGAACGAAGCAAGAAAGACCTAGCTAGGTCGAAGGCCTTGGAAGGACCTTCATCAATTGCATGAGGGCATAGGTTAACAATTTTTTACCACGCTTGGCAGCCGTAAGGAGTGACCTACATCTCTTGAATATTATTCCCGATAAAGCTATGCATCTCTGATACAACCTGGACGAAAATAGATGACCAAGCAACAGCAAAAGTAAATTAACTTGCTAAATAAAAATGCACATCCGGCAACTTAACTAAGCTAACAACGATTTGGGGTGAACCATACAGTTCTAGTATGTAATAGGGCACCGGAATAACTGTCGGGAAAACTGAAATGTCTAATACTATTGTCTGACAAGGAAAACACACCAAAATCTCGTCCGCTTGACGGTGATGCTGAATACGGATAGTCAAAAGCAAAATAGATGCAGTTTCTTTCAAGCTTCTCACCATGGGGATAATAACTGAGCTCATTATACTTGGTAGAGATAACTTTGTGGCTAGCCCTGCTCAAAAACAATATCCGATCACCAGGATCAAAAACCTGTACCCATCGTGAACCTCCATTGATACCATCGCGCTCCAGTTTGAACACTCGAAATCCTTTAGTCGTGGGTGGAGGGTGGTAATTAGCACCCATGACATCAATCATAAAACTGGCGCATAGAGAGGATGTTGGAAAGCCAAAATCTACCTTACGAAAAATCATAAACAGCTCCATAGATGCATAATCTTTTGCTAGGTAAATGAAATCACGGCCATTGTAATAATGTGTTATTCGTGATGTAATTCCACACCATGTCGTAACATCAATAGAAGGAAGTGGGTAGGACGGAAGTGGGTAGGGATCAAGGGTAATCAAGTTAGCAACGCTATAGCTAGGAGAGCTAGGAGGGCCGTCATTGACACTGGCATCGTGGAATATGTCAAATACATTCACAAACTGGGATGCATGGCTTGTTGAAGGCATATAATTTCCCGCCCATTATGACTATATCTTGAAAAAAGTTTACCCGCAGATCATCAATGGAGGTCCATGACTTATTGGTTAGCCTACAAAAAGCTATATGACCGCCTTTGCAGAGACTTGCCACAAAAGAGGGCTCCCGGCTCCTCCCTGTTGTTGGTACTGAAGAGGCGTCTAATTTCAGAATGGTAAATCCAGGCCCATTACTGCAGTGGCATGGAAGGGTGAATTTGGACGACGGTAACATCACTTGGTCACCAGATGTTGGATTGAAGAAGAAGAAGTCAATTTTAAACCTAGGGTTCTCAGGATTCAACAAGTATAGTGACCTGGGCTTCATAAAACCCTCCGAACGCCTCAAAGCACTGTCGATCATGATCAGCCATCCTTCAATCGATCCAACGCAATCCATTCTATTCATTGTACAATAAAATATGGGATCTGGCGATGGTCGTAGAAATTTATGAGCTTTCCAATCACTTGGACTTGAGACGGAATGATCTCTGTTAGAAAAGGGATGAGAACATAGCATAAGCCATGGAACTTCAAGCCGCGGTGATTGAACATTGCTTTTAATAATTTCTCGCCAAGATTGGCAAACTGCAGCACATCGACGGTAATCTGTTACACATAGTCGTTGTAGAATCAATTGCATAATATCTTTCGGA